CTGATGTTTCTCTGCTCCCTATCCCATAAAGCTTTTATCAGAACTTGAGATCCACACAGATGGTGAACAGTGTTGTAGTCTGAACATATCTGTCTTACTACACAGTTTCACAAAGGCCCCGAGGGCTGCTGTCACATAGAGGAAAGAGGATGTTGGCCTAAAGGAAAGTCTGAAGGTTTATGGGCTTCTGGGGACTGATGTTATTGTTAAAGTGGGCATGTCCTCTCTCAGCTATAACAGCTATTACTGGGTGGGGTGAGTTGTAGCAGACGTGCCTCAAGTTGAGTTTACAAAAGGAAGCCAAGGAGGTAGTAAAGGAGAAGGAGGAGGAAAGGAAATATCCTGGGCAAACCTTGACAGTGGTAGCTTTTGCTTTGTTGTAATGGTGGGATAAAGTAAAAAAAAAAAAAAAAAAAAAGCGTGCCCCCAGCCAGATATTGAGATGGTGTGCTGTAACTCCAGCCTATTTCTTAGTACACACAGTGCACTGAGCAACACACATTCACCTTACCCACCGCCCTCCTCCTCCAAATGCCATGCTTCCAAATGTGAGGTGTGGGGTGCTGTTTGCCTTCTCCCCCAAATTCAGCTGAGATACTGTCCCTTGGGCCTCCTTGCAGGGCAGCATTCATGCTGCATCTGTGCATGTCTAGGCCCTTGTCAGCTCAGACTGCTGCAGAGAGAGGGATACATCAAGAGTGGTGTGCATTGCTGTCCTAGGCTCCTCCCCTCCCCTGCCCTCCTCTCCCTCCCCTCCCCTGCCCTCCTCTCCCTCCCGTTCCCTGTCCTCCTCTCCCTCCCCTCCCCTGCCTTACTCTCCCTCCCCTCCCCTGCCTTACTCTCCCTCCCCTTCCCTGCCCTCCTCTCCCTCCCCTTCCCTGTCCTCCTCTCCCTCTCCTCCTCTCCCCTGCCTTACTCTCCCTCCTCTCCCCTGCCCTCCTCTCCCTCCCCTCCCCTGCCTTACTCTCCCTCCCCTCCCCTGCCTTACTCTCCCTCCCCTCCCCTGCCTTACTCTCCCTCCCCTCCCCTGCCTTACTCTCCCTCCCCTTCCCTGCCCTCCTCTCCCTCCCCTTCCCTCTCCTCCTCTCTCTATCCTCCTCTCCCTCCCCTTCCCCTTTTCCTCCTCTCTCTCCCTTCCTTCTTTCTTCCTTTCCATTCTTTCCTGTATTTCCATGGTCCCTTCTGTTTCTTCCCTGTTAGGTATGTTTTCCAGGCCCCAGACCCAGGCACTTCCCCCGTCAGCACACCCGCCTGGCAGGGCTGCTGTCCTCAGTCTCATCTGCTTTTCTTGCCACTGTGTCACTCCCGACTTTTGTCACTTCTCTCCCACGTCTAGGCTTTGCTAGCCAGGAACTGGCCAGCCTGGGAAAGGAGATGAGCATGAGCTGACCCTGTCTTTGCAGGCTATTTTCCCAGGGGAACTCTTCCCAGCGTTGTTGAGAGGCTTTCCTTCAGCACCACATACATTGTGTAACTGTTTGTAGGTTTTGCTTTTGGTTTGGTTTTGAGATAGGGTCTCAATGGAGCCCATGCTGGTCTTGACCTCCCTGTGTGACCAAGGATGATCCTGAACTTCTGTCCCTCCTGTCTCCACCTCCAGGGTGCTGGGATGAAAGGCATGTACCCATGTGTTCTGTTTATGTGGTGTTGGGGGAACCAGAACTTGAGCTGGCTACCAGCCAGGTCGAGTCACGGACTCAGTCCCTTGTTTGGCATTTGTTGTGAGCTCCCCGATTTCCATTAATTCTGTCTCGGTGATCTTAGTCTCCGCTGCTCATCAGAATCATCTGGGTAGCTTCAAAATCTCCCAATACCTGGGGCTGAAGAGATGGTTAGTGGTTAGGAGTGCACAGTTCAATTGCAAGGGCTGGAGTTCAGTTCCCAGAACTCATACCTGGGATCTCACAACCACCTGTAACTCCATCCCCAGAGGGGCTCCAACTCACTCTCCCAAAGGTAACCCACAGCCACATGAGCACAGAGACTTTTCTGTTGCTGTGACAAAACATGACCATGGCAACTTATAAAAGAAAGAGTTTAATCTGGCTTATGGTTTTATAGGGTCAGAGTCCATGGCAGTGAACAAAGACATGGTGCAGGAGCAGCCGAGAGCCCACATCTTGATCTACAAGTAGGAGGCTGAGAAAGCACACTGGGAATGAGCTAGTTTTCAAACCTCCACTGCCCCCAGTTTCTCCAGACTGAACTGAACCTCCTAACCGGTCCAGTTTCACCAAGTGGAAACCAAGGATTCTAGTATAAAACCCTGTGGGGGTCATTCTCATTCAGCACACCACACCTAACACAAAAATAAAATCAATCTTCAAGAAAAAAAAACTAAAAATCCAAAACCCAATGGCCAGGCTAGCCTCCAGAACCATTCAATCAGGACACCCGAAAGCCACCCAAGGCTTTGCTGTTTCTCCATCTGTGTTGACACTGCCCTGTCCACAAAAAGAAAGCTGATAACCACCCTAAGATCTTAAAATGCTAGGCTGGATTCCATCTCTTAAGATTTGATTATCTGTTGAGGAGACAAGCAGAGCCCCCTAACCAGCAAATAATGTGTTTTAGAACAGAGCCAATACCAAGAGAAAAAAAAAAAAACCTGACTGTAGAAAATTCAGTCTTCTATTTCTTTATTTTATTATCTTATAGGGAAATCTAAAGCGATCAAATGAATTGTTTCACAAGTGGATCCAAACATAACCATTGCTGAAAAAAGTATATCCATTGTTGTGTTGGTACCAAATTTAAACAAGGCTCCGGGCTCTTGATGCCTATATTTTTAGCTAAGCAGAACAGGCTGGGAGACATTGAGGATTTCAAAATAGCTGCTTACCTAAAAATATACTTCCTGAAATGAACTAGAGACCTGAGAGGGATGAATGGGCTCGCTTTCTTCCCTTCTGTGTTTACTGTCACCACAAGAAAGCAGATCTTAACTACATAAGCTTGTATTTTTAGAGACCCAGGAAGCAGGTGTTGTGCCCAAGCAACAAAAAAGGTCACAGGGTGAAACGTTAAGGACAGAAATCTAAAACTCACATCAGGGAGAGTGACTGGGGCCACTGAAGCTGGTACCCTCTGGGCAGGACAAGCGAGTGCAGGGAGAGTACACGGCGCCCTTCTCAGGCCTCTCCCAGAGGACCTCTTAGAGAAATCCCTCCCAGTTCCTCGGGCCAGCATCTGTCCTACAGCCACTTGCAATCCAAGGGTCTAATCTCAGTGCAACAGAGAACACTAGTTGATCTCCTCTGTTTGGTTGAATCCGTAACAGCTTTGTCTTGCTCCATCAACTCTGAGCCATGTTTCTAATAAGCTCCATTCCTCTCTGCTTACCAACTGCATACAAACCTGACCAGCCGCCTCCCATGTCTGCTGCCATGCTTCCTCACCGTGGTGGACTGTCCCCTCAAAATGTGAGCCCGAATAAACCCCCCTTTCTTAAGTTGCTGCTTGCCAGGTGTCTGGCCAGCAGCGAGAAAAGGTACTGAAGTAGATGCTGTCTATAGGGCAGGTGCCTCGTCACGCACCGGAGACGCTGTGTTTAAACAAGGCAGACTGAGACTCCTGGAACTTCCGTGTTGGTGACAGGTTAGAGGGAAGTGTGTGACCCAAGAGCTTGGCCAACAATAAAACAGAATCCTGTGGTAGTCACTAGTGGTCATTTTAGGATGAAGGGTGTCATTTAATCAGAGACCAAAAAGGGTGACAAAGATGTCGAAATAGACACTAAAAGTTAACTAATGTTTCCCTAAAGGCTGCCGTAGCCTCCAATGTAAGGAGTAAGGGGTGAGCAAGTGGCAGTGTGAGGGGATGTGGTCAAAGAGGTGCTAGGCCACTGGTGGATCCTTAAGGTGCAATCAGTTTTCCACGTAGGGTAGGGCAGTGGAGAGGGGCAGAGGTCAATGGGGGAACACGAGAGAGCAGACCAAGTGTGGGGAGTGCGAATCTGGAAAGACATAAGACCATCCATCTTGTTCCTAGCCTACACCTCGAGAACTGTCAGGGCCTTTGCACAAGGGATGGTTCCACCAGGGCCTTCCGCCCCTGCTCCATTGCCTCTAGGTGGACAACTGACTCCACCTCAAGGACCTGCTAGTGGCCTGCCACCTCTGTGACCACAGGCCCCCACTGCAGTCACCCCAGCTCACTCACCCTTAATTCCTCACCTTGGAGGATGTGGCAGGATGGGAGCCATCAGTTCAATCCTTCCTTCAGTTTCTACCACTTGGTGTTTCACTTTGGTGGTGACCTCTCTGCCCACTGGGGTGATGACCCTTTTCTGGTGCCTCTGTCTTATGCGCCCACCTCCATTTTGTTCCCCTCACCCTGGTCTGTTTTATTTATTTATTTATTTAGTTAGTTAGTTAGTTTAGACAGGGTCTCATGTAGCCTGGACTGGCTTCAACCTCACTATACAGCAGAGGATAACCTTCAACTCGTGACCTTCTGTCCTCTACTTCCTAAGTGCTTTGATCATGAGTGAGCACCTCCATGCCCAGCTTACACAGTGCTGAGGATGGAACTCTGAGTTTCTTGATAGTCAGGCAAATACTCTAGGAACTGAGCAACATATCCAACCCCAGCAGAACAAACTTTCTTCAGAAGAACTTGGAACACCAGGGCAGTGGGCCAATCTGTGTCTTTATTGATAAGGTTTTTGTAGAATTCACGCTTTATGCCTGTCATGGACAAAGCCCGAAGCCACTATGCATCCCTAGCACCATTCCCATGCAATGCACATTACTCCTTGTATGAATCTTAGAATTCTAATCTGATACGGGATTTCTTTTTTATTACCTTCCTCCACATTCTTTCTTTTACTTATTTATTATGGAGGGTACATGCACATGCCATGTCCCTTGTGTGGAGGTCAGAGGGCACAGTTCAGGAGTTGCTTCGCGCTTTCTCACATGGGACCCTGGGACCTAACTCGGGCCATCAGGTGTGTGTGGAGAGGGATAACCCTTTGCTCTTCCTTTCTCCGTCCTCAGTTAACAGTGATGTGATGACCAGTGACAACGGGGGAGCAGTCAAGCTTCCGCAACTGTGTAAGTTTTGTGACGTGAGATCATCCACTTGTGACAACCAGAAGTCCTGCATGAGCAACTGCAGCATCACGGCCATCTGTGAGAAGCCACACGAAGTCTGCGTGGCTGTGTGGTAAGAGGGCCTTCGGGGAGAGGGGGTCTTGCTTTTGCATTACCTTACACGACCCTGCGACCAAACACCTGGCCAAAGTGGCTTTGGGATGAAGGGTTCGTTCTGGCTAACAGTTCAAGGGGGAGCTAGTCCATCATGGCAGAGAAGCCGTGGCTGACAGTCACATGGTGTCAGCATTTAGGGAGCAGAGAATGAACCAGCTGGAAATCGAGTGTTCTTATACCTGAGCCTATTGGGCACATTTCACATTCAAATCATAGACTTTGTTTTCCATCTTTGTAAGTCATGTACGCTCGTGGCAAGAGTTACTGTTTGTGTCCCTCAAATGTGGATATTGATATTTATCCACCCCCCTGTCAATTATTAAGTCTGATTTCTAGAATACTTATTTTCTTATTATGGTTTGAATATGAAGTGCTCCCCCACTCCACAGAGGCTGGTACATTGAACACTTAACCCCCAGGTGGTTCAGTTCACTTCTCAGGACCCACACAGTGGCTTATAACCTCCTGTAATTCCACTTCTAAGGGTTCTGACGCCCTCTTCTGGCTTCTGCAGTAAGCACACACACGGTGCACATACTGACACCCACAGGTACACACAAAATTAAATTGATTCGTTTTTAAACAAATACAATGTACATGTAGAGCCAATCACCTGTACATTTCTCAAAATGTACACCATGCCATTTATCCTTTGATCTCTAGGCCAAATTAATCTCCAAACACATACATGGCAAAAAGATAATCCGTTTCCAATACCGTAAATTATTTCTACTTTTCTGTTCTGGAAAGGTCATTCTCTCAACTATTTTAATTATTTGTTTTCTCTCCCTGCCCCTTTCTCAAATTTCAGGAACTTACATTTCAATTAAGATCTTTCTTTCCATGTTGTTTTTGGAACCAGCTATTGGCATGAAGTGCCCCTGTTTCTCTCCCCCTCCTCTCCCCTCCCCCGCCCCCCACACAGAGTGACTTGTGGCCAGCAAGCACATGAAAACAGATCATGGGATTTAGAAATGGTTTAGTCAGTAAAGCGTCTGCTCTACAAGTATGAAGATCTAAGTTTGATTCCCTGAAACAGCCAGATGTGGTGACATGCACTTGTAATCCCAGTACTCTGGAGGCAGAGACAAGAGCATGCCCAGGCTTGCTGGCTAGCCAGCCTCGCTGAATTGGCAAGTCCCAGGCCAGAGAGATGCTGTCTTAATAATCAAGGTGGACATCTCCTGAAGAACAGCACTTGAGGTTGACCTCTGGCCCCCATGTGTACATGTGCACAGATACACATATATGCACACACACATGCACACTAAAGATTAAAAAAAAATCTACCACCATGTTCCTCTTTACGAACTCTCTGGTTAGACAGGACACCAACTCTGCCACATGTGCTAGAGGCAGAAGGCACAATGTGAGCCTGTAGTGCCCCAGGAGTGGGAGATTTAAATGAACCTTGCCCTCAGGAACCCACTTTTCCACACCTTTTCTGTGTAAAGATTCCAGTAAGGTTAATGCTTAAGTTTTCAGGTAGAGACCCCCCCAAGGAGAGCGGTCTCGTTTATAATCATAAGTAGGCTCTGAGATGAGCAAAAAGTGAAGGAAGATAAGCAAAGTTGATGCAGGAGAGTATGGGACAGCTTAAGAACATTGGAGAACAGGAAGTGACTGCTGTGAGTGGAAACTACTTCCTGGGGAATGGACAGACTTGACTGTTCTATCCAGAGATTCTCCATTCATTCTCTCTTTCTGTCCCTCTCTCTTCCCTCGATGACCCTCTGCACCCCAGGAGGAAGAATGATGAAAACATTACACTGGAGACCGTTTGTCACGACCCCAAGTTCACCTACCACGGGTTTGCGGTGGAAGACTCCGCTTCTCCCAAGTGTATCATGAAGGAAAAGAAAAGGCCCGGTGAGACTTTCTTCATGTGTGCCTGCAACGTGGAGGAGTGCAATGACCACATCATCTTTTCAGAAGGTGAGCTCTCCTCTCAGGTTGAGTCCTCCAGGAGAGCCCTGCTGCAGAGCTCTGGAGCATGCTGGGAGGTGTGTCCATTCCTCTGGGGGACAGAGCTCTCAAATTTAATTCCCCGGGCTTCATCTCGATATCTGGCCCCGATGAGTAGTTTCTTTCTCCTAGAGCAATGGCTCCCCAGGTCCGTTCTCAGGGCAGCAGCAACAGCAACTGAAGATTTGTTAGAAATGCAAATTATTATTATTATTTACAATTTATTTTCTCTCTGTGTGTGCATAGACATGTAAGTATGTGCACAGTATGTGTGTGTGTGTGTGTGTGTGTGTGTGTGTGTGTGTGTGTGTGTGTGTATGTGTATGTGCCAGAAGCCAACCTTGGACATCGTTCCTCAGCAGCCATCCACCTTGCTGTTTGAAGCAGGGTCTTTTACTTGGGGCATGATTAGGCTGGGCTGGGCTGTTCTATATGGAATTATGGATAAATAATGAGTGTAGCCAAGTATGCTGCTGAGATATTTTTAATTAATGAATTAATTAATCTGAATATTTATTCACTTTTATTCACTTTAGACAGTCACTATGCTGCTCAAGTCAGCCTATAATTCACTATGTACAGGTTGGCCTCAAATATGGAATCCTCCTGCCTTAGCCTCCTGAGTGTCAAGACTACAGGAATGATTACTCTTGACATCAAGATGTTTCAAAACATTCCTTTCATTCATTTACTATTTCTATAAAATAAAACTCTCTTTAAAAAGCCCAGTTGCTGGAGCCTGATGACTGTGTACAATGGATCGGCAGCTCCACAATCCAGAAAGTACCTCTCTGCACCTCCCAGTAAGTCCCTCATGCCCTTTGGCACTGAGTTTCTGCTGGGGCTCTTATTTTTGCTTTTCAAAATGTTTTTATTTTACTCTTGTGTTTTCTGTCTTCTGGTTAAGATCAATAGCCATGGCCTTGACACAAATCCTTTAAAGAATGGATATTGGGTGCCTCCAGTGTCTGAGGGCATGGTGTTACTGCATTATTCAACCTCCAGATGCCCCAACCTCTGGATGGATGGATGGATGAATGAATGGATGGATGGATGGATGGATGGATGGATGGATGGATGGATAGATGATGAATGGACAGACAGACAGAAAGATTGGCAGGTCTTTTTCACCTGTCTACCTGCTGCATGCTGGACCCTCCAGAAGAAGGGACAGATTACAAAGAGACTTTGTCATCTAGTCAGAAATCCATCCAGCTATGAATACAGACCAAATCAATATCATAAACTTACATAAAACTTTGTGCAATGTGATTTTTTGCAATTTGTTTAGTATTTTACTTTGTGTGTGATTGATCGTGTGGCTCTCCAGTGTGAGCTTTGTTGTGTAGATGACAGCATGTCAAAAGGCTAGGCATGCCTGGAAATGTTAAAAAGCTGATGTCTTTGCTTACGCTGCCATCAGCCATGAGGCCAGGCTTTGTGAGATGCCTGGGGGCTTCAGTGCATTCTGCACTGGCCAAGGAGGAGGAGGAGGAGGAGAAAGTCTTTAAAGCATAGGGAGCAATACCCTGAAACTGCCCAGTTCTCACAGCTGCCACTCAGCACATCTCCCTTCCCAGCTCGGAAGATCTCTTTAGCTGCAAGATCTGAGAACCTACCCAATACTCATCTAAATTCAGAATGCAAATTAGAAGAGAGAGCATTGTGATGGCCAGGTGACAGCCATCCATCAGGCAAGACGTGGTGGGTGTCGGGACAGAAGTGCTGACTACGGTGTAGGAAAGGAAAATGTTTTCAAGAGCAGCTGCCTGGTGCCTGGGAGATGGCATGCCAGCTTTGCAAGACATTTATCTATTTCATTTTTTTTTGTTTTTTTTTTCTGTGTGTGTATGTGGTACGTGTGTGTGTGTGTATGTGTGTGTGTGTGTGTGTGTGTGTGTGTGTGTGTGTGTGTGTGTGTTTATGTATATCTACACATATGTGTGCACTTGTGTGTGCACCTGCATTCAGAGGCCCAAGGTTTACACTGGTTGTTTTCCTCTATCACTTTCTACTTTGTATGTTGAGGCAGACTCTCCCTGAACTCAGAACTCACCTCTGGGCTCATCTGACTAGCCATCTCACTCTGAGGACTTCTATCTTTGCTTCTAGAACACTAGGAAGAGGGTTGGCACAGCCACAGCAGCTGACTTTTGTGTGGGTTCGGGGATCCAAACTCTGATCCTCATGCTTTGAGTGCAGCAAGCACTTAGCCTGCTGAGACATCTCTCCATGCCCCCTGCAAGACACCTACTGATCATCTCTTGGTTGAGTTCGTTAGTTCCTTTCTTATCTCATCCCTCTCTTCTTCCTTCCTTCCTTCCTATCTAGATAAAATCTTATGTATCCCAGGCTGGTTTTGAACTCACTATATAGCAGAAAATGACTTTGAACTCCTGGTCCCCTTACTCCACCTCTCAAGTGCCAGGATTATAGGTGGGCACCAAACCTACCCAGCTTTTACGAGTCTATTCGTGACCTGAACTCCAGTTCTTAAGTTTAAACACTTTATCTGCCAAGCCACCCCCCAGGCCAGCCTTGCTTTTTGAGACAAGGTCTCTTGACGGCCCAGAACTTGCCAAGGAGGTTAGGCTGCAGTGAGCCTCAGGGATCCTTCCGTCTTTGCTTCCCTGATGCTAGAATTCTAAGAGTGTTGTCTGGCTTCAGGTCTATTCTGGCATCTGGTTCTACAGCTAAGTTCTGGCCAGGCCCTGCCAACAGAACATCCAGATGTCTGGGTACCACACCACAGCACACTGGGAAGGCTTGCTTTGTTTTAATATGTGCTTCTCTCAGTCTTCTCTTTTCTCCTCACATACCTTCCCCAGTCAAAGGGAGCATGCTGAGTCTAGGATTTCTAATCAAAGCTAACCACAGCCCTTATGTTGCTGGATAATATTACAAATTAGGCACACTGTTCCCCGGTTTGACTCAGGATCACAGCAGGAAACTGTTCAATAAGAGTGGAAGGGCTTGCAGGGCCTTTCAGATCAGTGACTGGAGCAATCATGCTCTGGACCAGGCCCTCCTGCTTCCTTGTTGCCACAAAAAGCTTGCTCAGGGCTCCATGGCCTTCTCTCAGTGTGGCCATGCCATGCTTTTGAATTAGTGTTGTGATGGCATCTCCAGAGTCCCAGCAGCTGCCGCAGAGCCCATCTGTGTAAAACACAGCTGTCCTAGTTAGGTTTCTGTTGCTGTGACAAGGACCATGACCAAAAGCAACTTAGGGAGGAAAGGGTTTGTTTGTCATACATTTCTCATCATTAATTCATCACTGAGGGAAGCCAGGGCAGGAACTCATGGCAGGAACCTCAAGGCAGGAACTGAAGCAGAAGCCATGAAGGAATGCTTCTGTTTGCCTTGTTCTACAAGTGTACTCAGCCTGCTTTTTATATATACCCAGGACCACAAGGGGTTGCATTGCCCATGGTGGCATGGTCCCTGTACATCAATAATTAATCAAGACATGCCCACAGGTCAGTCTGATGGAGTTAATTCCTCAGTTGAAGTCTCTTCTTCCCAGATGCCTCTTGCATGTGTTAAGCTGACAAAAAAAAAAAACAAACCAAACCAAAACAAAACAAAAAAACAAAAAAAAACACTACACAACATAACATCTCTTGGTCCAAGGGGAATGAGACTGTTTGTTCTGAGGCAAGTAGGAATGGGCGTGATCTGGAACCAGATTCAGGTCGGCCTGGAGAAAATGCTCCATGGTGGAAATGGTTACATTAGCCTTTTATAGTGATAGTACAAAAGGCAGTTAAATATCGAGACTTAGTAAATACATTGTTGGGGGACACCAGGCAGGCTGGTTCTGACACAGCAGAGAAACCTCTCCAGATTATTTCATGCTCTATGTGATGCCATTCTTGCCTTCTGGCCTAGCAGAACCCAGGGGCCTGCTAGCTGCTGAGCTCATTCCAAAGGCTTCACCTGATCCTCAAAGGATGCTGGGTCAGATCCTCAGGTGGGTGGCAAACAGTGATTAAAGGGGAGTAAAGATAGCCCGAGCTAATTGTCAGTCTGCATCTGCAGCATTTTAACTCCACCATGAGCAAGATCTGATGGACTAATCAGTGGCCCTTCTGATCTGCAGCACAGGGGTAGCTTTTCTAGAAAACTCCAGCTTAGCCGGCCAGTGGTGGCGCACATCTTTAATCTTAGTACACAGGAAGCAGAACCAGGCAGATCTCCATGAGTTCGAGGCCAGCCAGGGCTACAGAGTGAGTTCCAGGAAAGGCAGAGTGAGTTCTCGAAAAACCAAAAAAAAAAAAAAAAAAAAGAAAACTCCAGCTAACATGCCAGCCTCACCCATGCTTGGTAAGAGCATGCTTCTAAATAGGACAGATAAGCTGTGTGCCTCCAGCATCTGCAGCATCACAGGGCCTCGGGGACACTGAAATGTCAGAAACACCTAGAGGTAGGGGTGAGGGTGGTCACTGAAATGATAACGCAGCGGTTAAGAGTGCTTGCTGCTGATCCAGAGGACTGGAGTTCTGTTCCCAGTCCCCAGGCCTGGTGGCTCACAACCATCTGTAATTGCAGTTCCGGGGGAGCGGCCACCTCTGGCCTCTGAAGTACCTACATCCATGTGCACATACACATACACACATAAATGAAAACAACATCTTAAGATAAAAGAGGCAGTAGAGGGACTCGCCCCGGAAGGTAGAACCAGAGAGGGCTTTGCTAACTTCATGCTCACTAAGGTAACATTACTCAGAGCAGTCATTTTGGCCAAAAACAGAAGAAAAAATACCCATTTATTTGGTCCAGTTGGGTAATAGACTAGAGGGAGCATCCCATGAATAAACTCTTCAACTGTAAACATGTGAAGAAATTGGGATGTCTTTGCAGTAAGCGTTTCCACAGGCACTTCAGTATTTCCTAGAAAATGTATGTGTTTGTGGCATGTATGACGTGTGTGATATATGCATGTGTGACTGTGTGTCTGGAGGGATAGGCAT